ATGTACCCTCACTCACCTATAGTAGGTGCCACGAAAGAATCGAGGTGCCTGAGTCTCGTATTCCTACTACTTCAACTACTGTTTATACTGCTTCTTCTAGCAGTGTATCTGAGTGATTGTAGTGCTGGTACTATTGGAGAAGAAGAATCGATCGCTGGGACAATACGTTTATTCGCCTGACGTTTCGACATCCGTCGCGCGATCGCTGGGACAATATGTTTATTCGCCTGACGTTTTGATATCCGTCGCGGCCGTCAGAGATATGAGTAGGAAAGGGTAGCAGAAGCGGGCAATACATGCACAGAAGTTTGCAGTATTTATAGGATACAAACATACAGCGACAACGAATGTTAATTGCCTTCTTGCGCGTGGATATTTTGTTGGACTGCAAACTTCTGTGCATGCATTGCACGTTTCTGCTACTGTTTCCTACTCATGCCTCTGATGATAAATCCGCGACGGATGTCGACACGTCAGGCGAATAAACGTATTGTCCCAGTGATCGAGTCTTTTTCTTCTCCATTGCTTCCTGGGACTCGCATGTTCGCTTGTATTGGTTGGTACTATTACAGACGCTAATATTTGGTCAAAAATGACACTAATTGGAGTCAGGTCTTGGCCCGTGTTACCTTGGTCTCACATAGGAGTAGGGACCTGCCGTTTTGCTATTCCCAGTAGAATACGTGTTTGAAGCTCGGAGCACATTAGAGCTTGCCCTGTTTGTCTCCTTGAGTTAAAACTACTAGGGCTAGGATAATAGTGTTAGAACTGCTGTGCCTATGCTAGAAGTGCTAGTTATAGTAATGATACTTGCTAAAGCCAGTAAGTGGCAAGGTACAGTGCGACCTGTAGTAAATATGCTTACTTTGGCCAGTAGTAGTATATTATAGTACGACCTGTGTGTGTGCTTTTTAAGAAGTCGGCACTCAGTTTGCATTCCCAATCTGTATGAGAGTACGCCGGACTACACGACAGGTTCGAGGTACTCACGCACGAAGGGGCTGGAAACTAGGCGGTATCTTGTGCACGACAAAGCCCGTTTTATGCCACGCTTAGCCTTCCTCCCCTACTATTATCGAGTTTTAAGGCTTTAAAAGGCAGCAGCTGGCTAATAATAATCCGAAAGTCTTCAGGCCCTCGTTATGGGGGATTTGGGTTGGAATTAATGCATATTTTGGGGCAGAAACTTTTGTGCTGGGCGTACGCTGCTGGATTAAGACCTGATGAGCGGATTTATGCAACTGTTCGCCCGCTCTAATGACAGGCGCCTGGCATCGAGGAGGAGGAGGAGGAGGAGGAGGAGGAGG